ACAGCTACAGCGTTCTGCTGCTGGCCTAGAGCTTTGGATGCACCTGGTTGCAGAGAGCTGCAGCATAAAGCCACCCATACAGCACTGACAGTGCCAAACTGGAAACTCCACAAATGCAAATACTTTGCTAGCTTAAGCAGGGTTTTTGCAATTTCATCCCTCACCCCTTTCCAATCTGCAGCATAGTTCAGCCTGCTGAAGCCACACTGGGAAGTCAGGATCAGCAGGTCCACAGCCAGGCCTGGCCACAGCTCACCTGGAGACCAACATACCCACACTGGAGCTCCAGAGAGAGCTGAGGGCCCTGAGCTGAGCTGAAGTGGAGCCTACATACCCTGTGTATGGGTGTGAATAGAGGCTGCAGGTGGGGCTGGTCAGGACCATTAAGGCCTGTTGTTGCCCTCAGGATCCTGGTACTGGTGTGTGGTGTCCAGGTGAAACAGGAAGCCTAACGGTCAATGAGGTGACCTGTGGTCAGAGCAGAAAGTTGCAGAGCAGCTGTTAGCTTTCTTCTTCAGATGAATGTAAACCTGTGCCTGTGGACATTTGTATCACTGTGAAGTTGTCAAAGTAAGAGCTGGAGGTGTAGCACAGCTCACCAAGAGAGCCCCAGCAATGAGGGGTGTGGGGAGGGGCTGAGGAGGGCTGGCCTCCAGCTAGATCCAAGTGCTGGGGCCCTTTGTCCTGGAGTCCATCCCCTGCCCTCCAAAAACCTGCCTGTATCTCTGCTCCCAGCTCCCATCTTGGCCACTGCCTGCCTGCTGGGCTAAGCCAGGGCCAGGAAACACTTTCACATACCTTGGATGAGGTCTGTTGAGGAAACACAGAGTCATAGACTGGCTTTTCCCATAAATCCTTTCATCATAGATATTTGACAAGTTGTCTCCAGCTCCTGCACCTAAGCAGAACTGCCACGCCGGGCGCAGTGGCTCCAGGCAGCACATAGCAGCTGCACAGATCAGTCACCCAGGGCTGGCCCAAGCCACAGGGCTCTCCTTACCGACGCAGATCAAAGCTGAGGCCAGGCACAAGTCTGCAGCCCCGGCCGCGGTCAGGGATGTCAGCACCGCTACTGCGCTCTGGCAGCGCCCGGCCCCAGGTCACAGCGGGGACGGCCTGCAGTGCCTGCAGAGCGCGGGCTGGGGGAAAAGAGCTCATTTAAATGAGAAGAAAAGGACTTTGGGTACTTTGCCAGCATTCTCCTTGCCTATTGTACTCCCTGCTTGGTTTCTGCTTTCCCCTGGGCAGTTTTATGTTTCCAAGGACCATAAATTCTTATTTTTCCAGTGGGCAGGAGGTGCGCTCTGGGCCGCGCCGCTTCCTGCCGGGCTTTGTGTGCGTGTTGCCCAGCTACTGTGCGCAGCCCCAGACTATGCCCAGCCCCATTCAGACCGGCCACGGCCCCGTGGCCCCACGGAGGATTCCAGTGGTGCTGGCTTTCCAGGAGGAGCAAAGAGAAGGGCAGGAGACAGCGGCTTCCAGACAGAGCCTGCGGGGCTCAGGGTGACCTGTGTGTGTGTCCTGGCAGAGGTGTGCAGCAGGGCATGTAGTGCCTCTCTGGTGGGACTTAAGGCTGAGCTACAGCCAGTGGCACAAAGGGTATGGGAACTGACAGGGCTCATTTGTCAGATCCAAAGCACCAGTAATCTGCGCTTGCTGAGAGGAAAGCGCATGGGGTGGTGGTGGCGTCATTCCCAAGCAGCAGCCCTCCAAGCATCAATAATTCAAACAGAAGTTGAGATAACACCCTGTACCCACGCCATTCGGGCCAGTTTGATTTGGTGGTAATAACATTCCTGAACCTGAAATACTTGGATTTGCCGTGGGATGAATTCCTAGCATGGCACTCAGTCAGCATCAGGCTGCAATGGGACGGGGAGAGGCCTCTTGGCACGGTGGGGTCAGGGTCCTGGTCCAACCAAGATCCTGCTGCAGTGGTAGGGATCCCACAGAGCCTCCTGCAGGGGAGCAGAGCTGAGCAGAGGTTCCTCTGCCCATAGTGCCAGGGCTGCACTGGGAGCGGGGCTGAACAGCAGCCTGGGCTGGCTGAGGAAAGTACAGCTGCAGGAAGAAACAGGCCATTACCAGACCTGTGACATCGTCCTTTGAGTGCACAAAGTACTTCCAGCAGGGGTTCTCCTGCTTCAGAAGCACAGCGAGCCTCTGCCCCAGGTTCCAGGAGGGCCCTGGCTCCTGCAGCTCCCTCAGGGCTGCTCCTTCTGCTCCGTGTTCATGAGGAAGTGCACTTCATGGACAAAGTCTACCTCCAGGACCTGCAAACTCTGCTTTGTGACAGTTCTCACTTGCATAACAAAGGCCCTGATACCTTCAGTAATTAATCACATTAAGAATTGCTTCTGTGAAAAACTGTTCACACAAGTTGTTCATAGTGCTGGAAACTGCGCATGATTTCAAATGTGCACTAGCCCATCTCTTTCATCAGCAGATGGAAGCTGGTAACTGCATGTGTAATTTATCTCTGCTTGGGTGGAATTATCAGATGAAATATGCATTGCACAGTGCCATTAACATTTCCAGTCATACAGTCTCTAGCTCTTGGGTGAGTTAATATTACATGCCAGCAGTGTGTGGGACCATATGAAAGGCAGAGACTTGAACACAGGGATTTAAAAGCAAAAATAGAAAGTATTCCAGGTCAGATGCATCAGAAATAGAATTAATGAAGTTGCTAAATTAAATGAGATCCAGTGCCCTTTTTTGACCTGCATTTTTTTATAAAATGTCCCCTCTTGTCTCCATAGCTAATAAAACTGCCAGGTTTGCCCGCTGATTCTCCACTTACAGCGGCAGCTTCAGATTTCTTAACATCTAGAGAAGCTTTTCTCATAGGATTACACAAGCAGCAGGAGAATAACTACTGAAACTCAGAAGGCAGCAGAGATGAACACTGCTGCGTTTGCAAATTTGGAAAAAAAAGTTCAAAGCAATTCAAAGGTAGGAAATACATGCAGGGAACCGACCTTGCTCTGTGGCAGCAGTGTAAGGAGGGCTGGGAGCTGCATGCTCACCTGGGACAGCTCGGCTGGGAGACACTGTGCTATCCTGGCATCGCTTTTCTTCACCAGCCTTTTTGTCCAGTAAGTCACTTTTATTGGAATACTGACTCCTGTTTGAAAGGCAGCCATTAGATGACGGAAGCTGCATCCCATCTGCTTGCTCCATGCAGAGGTGGTGAGGGCTTGGCAGCCAGCGGTGCCCTCCAGGGCTGCCCTGCAGTCGGGCTGTGCTGTGGTACCTCCTGGAGGTTCCTCTGTGCTCCTGGCAGCCCGGCCATGCACTGCTGCTCCCGGCTGTTGGCTTTCTGTCCAGCATAGAAAGAAAAAATATCTCTGCAAAACCCAGACTTGGACTTCGCTTAAAGACTCTGAGTAAAGAGCCTTGTTTGAATGTAATTGCACCCCTGTTGCTACAAGGGGAAAATACGCTGTATTACTCTCTCTTTCTTGGAAAGCTCGGCTAGTATTTTCCCAGCCATTTGTGTACAAAGAAAGATAAATAGCTCTTTAGTGGGCAGAACAATCTCTCTGGGTTTTATTGACATTTGTGCCAGCAGCTGAGGAGCAGCGGCCTGGCAGAGCTGAGCGTGGGCTGGTGGAGCTGCGTGGGGTGAGCAGCTGGGGGTGCAGTGAGGGGCTGGAGGAGCTGCTGCAGGACGGATGCGGGCTGCCTGAGCACCGTGCTGCTTGCCTGCTTGCCACCTCCTTGCCCATCACTGTCACTCCTCCCTATAAATAAAATATGTATATGGCAAATTTAGCTCCAGCTGCACGCACAGTGGGGCTGTAGATAGATTTTTAAAGAGCTTGACTCCAAGTAATAATTCATGGGGGGATCAAAAGGCTGTGGTTTAATCAGGGGTCTGTCTAATACCATCAGAAGCCTGATGCATGTGAATAGCCATCCCATTGTCTGCCTGCAAGGCCAGTGTAGCTCACAAAGGGTGCTGGGGAATTGGAGAGCCATGTTCTGCTCTGCAGATCCTGGGTAACGCACCCACAGCACCACACTCTGTCCTTCAGCATTGGGCTCCCAGAGGAGCTGCCTGGGCTCCCCTGCTGTCTCAATCACTGCCTGCGGCTCCTCTGACTCTTATCAAGAGATAAGGTTGTTAATTAGGCGTCTAATTACACAGTGTAGGTGAGCTTCAGTCTGCACGCTGCCTCTCGGACTGGGATCACGTGCTGTAGCTGCACTGTCAGGTCTGTGTGCTGGTGTGGGTGAACTGACGATCTGGCCCAGGAAAGCTGGATTTCAGATAGGGATAGCAAAAAACACAGGGTGTCAAAGTGCTGTTTGGAAGCTGAAAATTGTGCCTGAAGTGGGGCCAGCAGGGATCAGTACAGTAAATACACATCTTTAGAGTAGAGGGGCTCTGCCATTCTTCTTAGTTATCATCAGAAGCAGCATTTAAAAGCCATTAGTTTAATTTTCAACACAAACGGAGGTGAGTTTGGTCTGCAGACACCTGCAGATAAGGAGCTGGGTTTTTCTCCAGAGGTACTGGGCACACCGAGGTTAATGTGATTATGTCCATGACAGACATAATTGCATTACTGCCACCCATCTGGCCCTCCCTCAATTCAGAAGTGATTTTATATTCGCCATGCACTGCAGCACTGAAATACAAGGGCACCAGAGATGCCATAAATCACTGCATGACGTGTGCTGCCAGGGCCACCTCCCGAGCCAGACACTGCTGCGTGTTCTCACCGCACCGTGCAAGGTGCTTCAGTACCAGCATGCCAGGAGATTCCTCCAGGCTCTGAACTAACAGTCCCCAGCCTTTTCCTGCACAGTTACCTGGGATGGGGGTTCTGCTCCAGCACCAGCATCCAAAGCCCCTCACTATTAGGTGCTCTTTAATAGCACCCTGCTATTAAACATAAGAACATTTCCATGTAGAGCACAGACAGTGGCTGCAGTTTCAGCTGCCCTCCCAGTCCCACCTCTCTTCTAACCTGTGCTTATCTTCCCATCAGTATGAATTCAAAGCCAAGAACATTAAGAAGAAGAAGGTGAGCATCATTGTGTCTGTGGATGGCGTGAAGGTGATCCTGCGCAAGAAGCAGAAGGTGAGGCTCCTCCTGCCCAGCCCTGGCATTGGCTTTGGCCTTGTCTGAGTCGCATCACTGCTCAGCACAGTCAGGCTGCTAACCAAAACCAGCTTTTTTTTTAACAAACACCCAGAATTTTCAACTGAAAAAGCCTCAATTTTTCACCCACACACACACATAAAAAATGATAACAAAATCTCACTGAAGAAAGGTGAGGAAATTACACTGTGGGAGGATGATTTCTACCAAAAAATGTAAAGCTTTCAGGAAATGCAGTTTCTTTTCCTCGTTAACTAGCAGGCTTTCTCAGCTGTGCAGCCCCACGCCTGCTCACACTGTGCAGAGCCCACAGCTGCCCCCGCTCCTCAAGCTCTCACTCAGAGCCCTGCCCCACAAAACGAGTTAATCCTCTGCATATTTGATGCTATAAATTAATCTTTAGGACAGCTTTCAGCCCTGGAGGCTATGATCAGATGACCAGATATGATAAATGATCAAAGAAGTCTTTTTCCATCCAAGATACCGACTGAACAGCCACTGCTAATGCAGTCAGGCTATAGCCCTGCCCTTGGCAGGGGACAGATGTGCCTTTTTCCGTTTCTCCTGCCCATGGGAGTGGTGGAGTTTGGGTCTCTGTGATCGGCAGTAATTGTGCTTCTGCTATGTGCTTGCAGCGAAAGGAGTGGACGTGGGATGAGAGCAAGATGGTGGTGATGCACGATCCCGTGTACAGGTATGTGCCAGGGCTTTGCACACCCAGATCTGGATCACTCATCTGGATCAGACGCTTTGAATCAGATGTATCCTGCTTGCTTTCCAAACCCCATGAAAAAAATGATTGAGGTCACAAAATTACTGCTGGTGGGAATCTTCCATACATTTCTGCCAGCGAAGAGACTGACTGAGCTGGCTTTGAAGCTGGCTGTGCATCAAGCAGAGGTCATGCTGAGTGACCTCCAGAGGCACCTTCTACCCAAACTGCTCTCTGATTCAAACGCAGAGGACACACAGGCTTCCTTGGTCTGCCTGTAACGTGTGGCTCGCTGGATGCTGTGAGCCTCTAAAGAAGGGCCTGATGCTAAGGCGTGACTTCTCAAAGGGAATAGCTTGTACAGGATGCAGTAGGACAGCACTGACTTTCCATAGCATGTGCTATGGGATCTCTGGGTATTTTGGAGATGAGAAGTTTCATCCCGAGGCATCCTCTGCCCCTCTGCTTGGTGTCAACAGTAGGCAAACCAGCAGGACTCTGTCCTGGGTCTTAGCAAGCAGAGGAGACCATGAATTCTGTTACTTCTTACACGTTTAACTCCTCCTGTCCCTCCCCCAGAATCTTCTATGTGTCTCACGACTCACAAGACCTGAAAATATTCAGTTACATCGCTAGGGACGGTGCCAACAACTCCTTCAGGTGCAACGTCTTCAAATCCAAGAAGAAGGTGGGGTGTTCCACACTCATGCCCAGGCCCTGGGGGGGCACCGGGAGGTGGTGGGGCCGCCCTGAGACCCCAGCGCAGGGCTGACGGTGCGTGTGCTCTGCAGAGCCAGGCCATGCGTGTGGTGCGCACGGTGGGCCAGGCCTTCGAGGTGTGCCACAAGCTGAGCCTGCAGCACGCCCTGCAGAACGCTGACGGCCAGGCGGACGGTGCCAGCGACAAGTCGGCGGAGGAGCAGCCATCTGAAGGTGACATTCTGAGGGGTCTGGGCAATGGCGGCAGCAGAAGTGCGTCGGGGTGAGGGAGGCTGCAGTGATGTGTCCTCATGGGACAGCTGCAGCGATGGTGAGATCTTCGTGTCCCGTTGGCTTGGGGGCCTGGCTGATCCGGCACCTTCCCAACCTGAGCCCCATGGAGGCTAAAGCAAGCCTTGGCCATTCTCCCCAGGCTGTCATGTCAGCCATGCTCTGAGCTCTGGCTGGCAGCCTTGGTCCTGCAGTGGAGGGGCTTTGCTTCATTTTTCCATTTCATTTTAAGTGCACCAGATAAAGGGCTCCAAGATCACAGATGTGGACGAGGTTGGCCTTGACTCTGATGGCATCTGTGTATCCGAGAGGGGAGCAGGAGAGCTGCCCATTGCCAGGGGTGAGCTGAGCACACTGAAACCTGGACAAGGCTCCAAGGACAAGAACTGCCAGGTAAGGGCCAGGAGGGGGGGTCACCACTACTGTCCCTTTACTCACAGCTATAGGGAGAACTCTCAATTTCCCGGTGCCCTGCTCTGGCTGTCCCCAACCCTGTAGCAGCACCACTTGACCAGAACCCTGCTCCATGCCACACAGGTGGCTGGACAGGTAACAGGTGGAGTGGAAGCAGCATCCCTGCTGAGGGGCATTTTCATGCTGTGCAGGCAGGTGTCTAGTCTAGTCTGCAGCAGTCCTTGGCCATGCTCCAGCAGCAGCCGCAGCTCACTGCTTCCCCCCACCAGCAACATCTCTCGGGGCAGCCCCTGCTGCAAAGGGGCTAAGGGCGTGCTTGGTGCTGGCTGTGGACACGCCGTAATGAATAGCTGCTCTGCAGAGCTGTTTGAGGGAGTGTTTCCTGGCTGCCTTAATGGCATTATTTCATTTTACACAATTGTATTGCTTGCGGGGCCTGTCTGCAAGCAGCTGCAATGAAATGCATTCAGTTGGATTTATTTTCTTGGCTCAGGAGGCAGGGCTTCACTGTGCCTTTCCGTTTAGACGCAGATGCGCTGCTGACCTGGCTTCATACAGTGCCGGGGCTGTGGGGGCAGCTGTGATCCCTGGGTCACTGCATGGGGCCCCATCAAACACCCGGGGAGCCACTGTCTGAACAACCCCAGCATGAGCTGAGCCGTCTTCTCACCACGTCTTTGTCTCTGCGCCAGGACTCCGAGAGCTGCTCCCTGTACCCGGCCGGCTCACAGCAGCTGCTCAGCCCGGGCAGCCCCTGCTCTTCAGCCTCCATCACCCCACTGGCCTCCCAGCACTGCCTCCAGCTGCTCCAGCAGCAGCTCCTCCAGCAGCAGCAGCAGACACAGGTGGCAGTGGCTCAGGTACACATCCCACCTTCCCTTGGGCAGCACCAGCCCTGTTCCTCTCCCTGTAGAGCCTGGGTAAAGGGGTGTTGCACAGCGATGGCCCTACAAACCAGGGATACTCCCGTCGTGGCGTGGGGACCAACTCCCCTCCCGCCCCACCTCACACGCCGCCCCACCCACCGCTGCCCCTCCCGCGGCCCCAATCCCCCGCCTCGGGCGGAGCGCCGCGCGGCCGCCAGGGGGCGCCAAAGCGCCGCGCAGCGCCGCGGGACAGAGGAGAACTGGGGCTGCTCCATGGGAGCCGGGGGAGAACCGGGGGAACAGGGGAAGGCTCCTGGGGCACCGGGGGAGGCTCCGGCGGCGCCGGCCCCGCAGCCCCGTCCCGCCCGCAGGTGCAGCTGCTGAAGGACCAGCTGGCGGCAGAGACGGCGGCGCGCATCGAGGCGCAGGCCCGGGTGCGACAGCTGCTGCTGACCAACCGCGACCTGCTGCAGCACGTCTCGCTGCTGGTGCGGCAGCTGAAGGCGCTGGAGAGCCGGGCGCAGCGGCGGCAGCCGGGTGAGCGAGCGCGGGGAGCGGGCACCGGGCACCGGCAGCCCCGGGGCCGCCCGCGGCTCCTCACCGCCCCTCGTCTCTGTGCGCCCGCAGTTGACCGTTCGCTGCAGAACCTGTCCCTGGCGCAGTCGCTGTCGCTCAACCTCAAGAACCACTACAGCCTGGACTTCGCCCTGCCCTCCACCTCCACCCCCGCCAGCGTCCTGGGCAGTCCCGTGGCTCCCCGCTCGCCATCGGCGCTGGGCGCCGGGGATTCCTACCTCAACCTGGTCGGCCTGGAGGGGGCCGGGCCCTGCTTCGGCAGCAGGGACGGGGCCGAGGGCCCGGCGGGGCAAGAGGGGCTCAGCCGGCGCGTGGAGGGCTCCGAGGTCAGCGACTTGGCGCTGCTCAGCGGGAGCGGCCGGCAGAAGGCGGAGGACGCGGACAGAGGGGACGAGGACAGGTGGGGCTCCGCGGCCGACGCAGCAGCCGAAGCGGGGCGCCCTGCCCCTGTCAGCGCTAATCCAAAGCGTAGCACCGCGCCAGCTAACGTGTAGAAAATGAACCTTACGCCAGCCCCAAGCGGCACAGCAGCACCGGCCAGAGCAGAGCTTGCAGCTGCTGGGGTATGGGAGGGAGAGCTGCGTCCTTGGCAGAGGACAGCTCAGGTTGGGGACGGGCAGAGGAATCTCAGGAGAGCAGAGCCCGGGGTGGGATTCACCGTGTGCACACATGGGAACAGGGATGGGGGATGCTGTCTGTCCTGCTCCTGTTCCCTGGAGCAACTCAGCCAATGCTGCATCCCTTGCATGCCCCAGCTTCAACATACACAACAGTGAGTTGACTGAAGACACCCAAAGATGCATCTGGCTTTTGGAGAGCCCAGGGCAGCTGGACCGAGCCCTGTGTGCAGGTAGGTAAATCCTTGCCCATCACCTCCTCTTTGCTCTTGCTTCCCAGGCGGCAGCAGCCCATTCCCAAGCTCAACCCACCGCCACCCATCCTACGCAAGAGGTCAAGCAAGACCTCCCCGAGCCTAGAAGTGGACATTAAGCCTGAGAGCACTGCCCACGTGAGCCTCCCCAGCCCCAGTGTGTCCGGCCTCACCAGCATCACTGCCACCTCCCTCACCCTCCTGGACCCTGAGGCAAGGACTCCTGCACGGAGCACTGCTGCCAACGCAGAGCCCCTCTCTGTTGGGACCTACCAACATGTTCTGAGCAAGGACAGGTCTGGAGAGAATGGGCACACATCCCCTCCATCCAGCATCCATGATCCCACAGCCAGTGATGCCCTGAGCAAGGACTTGGCCTCACTGCTGAGCCCCACGGACAGCACACTGCCGTTCTCCCCTGCAGATGACACCTGTTTGCACATCAGCTTCTCAGAAGATGAGCTGCTGGAGCCGGAGCTGGACACTACTGTGGGGCCCAGCAGGGTCCCTTCTTAGTCGGACACAGCACCGGCAGCTGGCTGACAGGCAGTCACAGTGGCTCTTTCCACATCACTCCCTCTGCTCACTGGGGTTACAGGGTCCCTGCACCCTGCCTGGGTCAGGTTCCTTCACTGTCCCTGCTCCATGCATCAGCTCCTGCCATGTGTGGGCTGCAGCAGAGAGTGCAACCCGGTCAGCCCCTGTCCTGTTCTGCACCAGTTCATGCTGTCTTCCTGCTTTGCCCAGCCCTTTTGTGTTCTGTCCTTCCCTTGGTCAGACATGCCAAGTGGGTCTTTGTCCCAGGGAGCTCTCACTTCTGCTGCCTGGCAGAAGCACAGATCCCACTCATTACCAAATCCCTGGCTGCTGCAGACAGCCCCAGCTCCACATCCTTCCCACTGCATCCCCCAGCCCCGCTGTGGTGGGGTGGCCTCAGGAGGGAGAGATGCAGACACCTCACTGCCTTGAGACCAGTCCTGTTTTGGAGACAGCAGCTTCACCGCCCCACTGCTGTGTCCCTGTGCAGCAATGCCACCACTGCCTCCCTCCAAAGGTGCCTTTTCCTATGCTGGGCCACTTACTGTCCACACAGACTGGGGCTGCCCTGCGAGAGGCTGGTATGGGGTGACTGCCCACAGGGGAGTGTCGGGAGCCCCATGCCACAGCAGGTGCTCTGCATATTTTGGGGTGGCACAGAGGCAGCTGCTCCATGCACACCTCTCTGAGCACTTTGGGGCTGCTCTGTCATGTTGGGGTGTTATGAAATGGCTCAGTGTGAAGTTGGAAGCATGAATGTCTGGGGTTCAGTTTGCAGATGGAAGGTTTAAGGAAGAAACCCAGCCCTGTGGGGAGAGCCAAGGCAATACTTGGTGCTGCCTCACAGCCCTCATCAGCACAGGCTGGAGCTGGTTCTGGGGAGGGACCCTGGGAGGTGATCCTCCACTCACTGTTTGCAAGAGGAGGTTTGGGAATGTGCTGGAGGCTCGAGTTGGGGAAGTGTCAGGAGATGGAAGCTCAGAGCAGCCATTCTGCCCCAGTGCAGAGTGTGGCAGGACCTCAACAGCACAGCACTGTGGGGCCCAGGGCTGACCAGGAGCCGATGGGAGCGGATGACAGAGGGCCCGTGGCACCACCAGCACTGCTGAGGACACATGATGGGAGCTGTGGGTTTGTAAAGCTGTGGTTGGGCCGCGTGTTAGTGTGGTAGAGACAGATGGACCACTCCTTTAGGAAATAAAGTACACTGCAGTTTGGTAACTGAGTTTTAAAGAAAATAAATGCCTCGAATTTGCAGAGCTGGTGCCATGTTCTCTGCCCCACTCACTGGGAGCATCTCATCCCCCAGCCCCAGTACTCCTAGGCAGTTTGGTGCTGCAGTTTTCCCAGTTAAGTGACATCCCACCCAGGAGTCAAGGCAGCTGCAGCCCCATCCCTGGCCCACTCCCCTCAGGGAGGGTCCCTGTATCCCCCTACTGTCACAGCCACAGTGCAATTGTGAGTCCCAGCTGCTCCCCCTCACAGTGCCAAGAGGTCTCATGTCACCACACACTGCCATGTGGGTGCCAGGTTCCTCACCAGTGATGGGAACCATTTCCAAAGCATCCCCTGCCAGCACACAGCACCAACACTGCCCCACAGCCCCCAACTGCAGCCCGCCCTAAGAGGTCTGGGCTCTGGGATGGGACAGGGCAGCCCCCAGTGCACACATTGCCCTTTTTCATTCCCCAGTTTCTGCTTCCAAACCAAACTCTGGCCCACAAACCAAGCTCAGCCTGGGCACACAGGGAAGGAGGGCTCCAGGGGGTGGGATCAAGGTGGGGACAGGAACCTGCAGCACCACATCCCTGGTCCTGCAAACCTGGAGGGGCTGCATCCTCCAGCAGAAGAGGCCAGAGGTGCCCTTCCCAGGGGATGGAAGCAAGCAGCCATCTGCCTGGGGGGGCATGTCCAGCTCCATGCTTATTGTGCTTCCTGCACGGGAAGAAAGTTTTTCCTCTGCTGTCTGGTAAGCTGCTAGCAATCATCAGGCAGGCAGGTGGTAAAGATTCATATCCATCAAACAATGCTATTTAGTTTGTAACCTGTGACTAAATCTGGTGTTAGCTTTAATTTCAGAGTCTGCTTTAGGGCTCGCTTGTTAATCTCTATGCAAAGCAGATGAAATGAATATGCAGCATTTTGGATGTAATTGTACGGCTTCAATTCAGCACTATAATTTTCCAAACAGGATCTTGCAATCAAGCTTCTATTCATTAGTGTATAAACAATTTAGTTTCTCAGCTCTCCAGTATGCCAATCATTTCAATGGAGTGAGCATCTCTGACAAAAAGAGAAGGAAAGTTTCCTTTGTGTAACAGAGGTAAAAGTTGCTCCATACTCAGGCAATTCCTGCCTGGCAGCCCCTGGTCGGTTCTGAAGGCATCCAGGGCCCCTCAGCACAGAACGCTGCCCATGGGCGGCACCACCACATTCCAATGTCAGCACCTCCCCACCAACGCAGCCCCAGCCACGGGTGGTTCTACCAACGGGACCCCAGAGGTGAGCACGGACCCTCGGAACACGGCAGGTGGCACCGTGGGCTGCCCTCACTGCACAACCAACGTGCCCGGCCCGTGTCCCTGGGAGGCGAGGTGGGACCAGAGCCTCAACAAAGGGAAGCGCCATCGGCAGAGCCACTCCGCACAGGCTCCGTTTCCAAATGAATATCGACAGCGCTAATTACAGGCCGCCATGCAGACAGCTTATTAGCTTGTCACAAAAAGACGGTATTGAACTCAAAGCCCGCGGTATTCACGAAGCGCAGCAAGACGCTCCCCAGACAGCACAGCGAACCAGGCAAGCGAACAACCTCCAGCAAAACTAATTACTTCCTGATTGTCTACGGCCACCCACTGGGTATAATAGTATAGACTAAATTTGGCATATACATAACTAAGCACTCGGCACCAATTTGGCATACAACAATCATCCTCTGTGTTGCATAATTAAAATCTGATCATTTGGAATAATCATTTCATATTCCCGATGCTGGGTGATGACTGCACGGTGCGGCGCAGGAGGCGCAGGATGGATCATGCAGTGCTGCCCAGCCGTGGGCACCGCATGGCCTGGGCTGCAGGGCCACCCCACGCAGACCCCCCCCGCTCCACCCAGGACCATCGGTGCCCATTGCCGGCACACAGCGTGCTGACCTCCCGCCGCAGGCAGGCTGCTGACCCCACGCCTGTCCGGCCCCATTGTCATCGCACGTCTGCTAAAGGCGTTTGGAAAGACAGGGGCAATAAAAAAATAAAATAAAACAGAACGTGTGTGTCTAATCCATTAACTTCCCCTTGTGGGCTCCCCGGGGATGCGGCGAGGAGGAGAAAGAATATGTGGATATTGCACGCGCCCTGGCACTTTGTCCCCGGGCCAACCCTGCTGCTGACCGCTGCCACAGCTTGCGCTACCCCGGGCTCATAAATCAGCATGGGTGACAGCATTTCACAGCTCGCTTCCCAGCCAGGATATTGCCATTCCTGCTGATTACACAGCCAGAGCGCGGGGGAAGCTGCATCTCCCACTTCCAGGAAGGGAGGCTCCGCAAGGAAAATGCATTGATAAAAAGAAGAACGAAATCAGCTTTGTTCACGTTGCGAATCTCCCATTGTTCCTGCTGTGACCGTCAGCCATCGCTGGAGAAAGTATTTCCTCAGCAATAAATCTCCTGGGCTCCTCGGCAGCCTTCGCCTTGGCACCAGACCCTCCTTGTGTTGTTTTGCAAGAAAAAAAGCTGCTTCTGACACTACACCAGCCCCAGATGGGAGCCCTGGCCACAGGACTGACCCTGCACTGACTTCTCAGCTGGTTTTGGTGATTGAGGGCAGGCAGCTGGAGCAGCACCCTGGGAGGAATGTGGGGCATTTCAAGGTGTGAGCTCAGCCCCAAGACTGGTTTCAGGAGAAAAGTGCCGGGATGTTATCCTAGGGGTCCCTGCCCATGTCCACAGCCGGCACCACAGCAGGACATGCCGGTCCCTGGGCCCTCACTTGTCACTTTCCCTCGCAGCAGACCATGGCTTCTGCCACGCGTGTGCCCCTGGCCAGCAAATGGCAGCTGGTGCAGGCCAGGGAGCGCACATCCGACTACGGCCACACTAATCCCAGTGCCGAAACGCAGAGCTGGCTCCTGCCAAGAGCTTGAAATACAGGAGTCAGGCTGACAGTTGTACAAGAAAAATAGATCAAGTTTCCAAGAAAATACAGGCAAACTGATCTGATTTTCATCAGCATCTTCAGCTGCCTTTCGGGAAGCCCCAGCCCTCTCCTCATTCCTGCTCTCCGCTTTACAAACCACTTAATTCATTGTTGCTTTGGAAACCCTCACAAAGACCCTCTGCATCCCCCAAAATAACGAGCAACAGATGCTGCTTTGACCTCAGCAACTTCCTGGAAACATGCATTTGTCAAAATAAAAATAAAAAGATTAATGTGAGGAAGGCTCTTAAATTATAAGAAAATAGCAGACATGAGAGCCTGGCCGCGCACGCCTGTCATTTGTAACGGCCACGGAGCACCTGGGCAGGCGGTGGAACCTGGGGTCCCCCCATCCTTTGGGATCCCCCCAGCTCTGCTGTCCCCCAGAGCCAGGAGCAGTGCAGGCAGCAGGGCTGTCAGCCTGGAGCTTTTGGGTTAAGGTGCTCAAAAGTCTACAGGCTTCACTCCTTCACTCACCCTCCAGCTGTGACCACCCAGCAAACCCTAGGGCTCACAGAGGCACAAGCAAATACCTGTGGGTGGGTGGAAGCCCCTTTGTCTTGGGGCTCACAGCAGCCACGTGAGTAAGCAATGCAACACGACACAATACAACACAACAGGGGCACTCACCAGCACCTGTAGCAGGCAAGGCAGTTCTGTGGGTTCCACACAAGTGGAGCCCCTTTTCTCTCTCAGTTTTATAGGATCAGCCAGCAATGAGCTGTGGGGCTGGGTCACCTGATTGCTTGGTGCACCTGCGTGCAGGTTGGCACACAGGGGCTCCCAGCTTTGTGCTGCTGTGCGGCAGCATGTTGCCTGAGGTTTGTCACTTTCTCAGGGTTCTTTCTGCCATGAGGACCTAAGAAGTGCTCAAGTCAATAGCAAGGGGCTGTGGCCCCATGGGAAAATACTGTGGCATGGTGGCACAAGGTGAGAACATCCCAGCTGCTCTGTGCCAGCCTCATGGGGTGCTGGGTGCTGTTGTGCTGTGAATGCAAATCCTGACCTGGGCTGGGGACTCTGCCTTCCCCCACCCCAGTGTAATGCCTCCAGTAGCTATGGTAACTGCTATATACATTTACATATTCTTCCAGTTAATCACAGGGACATCCACAGCAACTGTCTTTGCCAGCGGTTGTTTTCGTTCTTCTGAACGTAGGCTGGAGCATTACCCACCTACAGCCCTTCTCCACAACAACAAATTCTCCACATTACCCCTTCCCCACAGGCCCCACACGGCTGCAGCCCCCAGCCCCACACCCCCAAGTCACTCAGCACCAGCGCTGCATGTCCCACAGTGTTACCATTGCAGCCTCTCCCCCCAACCCCAGGGGAGGCACAGGGGCCTGCCCAACTCTCCACCTGTGCCCTCAGCGAGGGACAACGAGCTGGCAGCCCCCATAGGCTGCAAACCCCCCACATCCCCTTTCCTCTCCCCCCCCTCCCCCCAATCTTTTTGCTTACCTGAGGCCAAAAGCAGTTACAGAAGCCAGCAGATGCCGTTGCACTGTGTCCTGCAGCCTCTTTCCTGCAGCTTTCAGTGCTGTCATGGCAGGGCCGCATTCTCAGCAGCCCATCCAGGGACTGCCTCAGAAAGGCCTTCCCAGGCATTAAGAAGCACCAGGAACTCCCCGGCGAGCCCATGGGTGCCACCATGTGTGTGTGGGCACTGCCAGCCAGCTCCCAACAGCAGTACCAGAGGCCACCTGGGCTGACGAGGGCAGGCCCTGCACGGCGCTCCAGGCTGCGCTCAGGGCTGTGTGTGGAGGGCGCCGCCTCAGCCCAGCCGCCATTTTCTCTCAGCGTTTCTCTCACCCAGGGTTTGCCACTTTTTCCCTTTACATGTTACAGCTGGTGGCACCTTGGCCACAGAAGAGTTCATTTGCTGAGTTACGAGGAGGAAAGCCACCAGAGCAAACTGTCCTGATGAATGTTGGCACTGTAGGGAGCACGGCACAGAGCTGTGTGGGGCCACGAGCAGCAGGGCCGCTCCCACACGGCTCAGGGACAGCAGGCAGCCCGGCCCCGGGGTGCTGCAGGGCACTGCAGTGCTATGTG